CCCCGTGGCTGTGCCCCCCTCTGTCACTGTTCCTCCTCCTGTTGCAGTGTCCTTCTCCCTGTCACTGTGTCCACCCCCCTGTGGCTTCTCCTGGCCCAGGCCCTCTGGCCACCTGCTGGGCCACACCTGGACTGCAGCCTATACTTTGGCCAACAGGCTCCTCATCCAGCTTCAGCCTCTGCTTCACTGGCTGGACAGGAAGAGGTCCTGACGCCCCCTCTCCAGATGAGGGTTGTCATGAGCCACATACCCTCCTGCTGCTGCCTCCGAGGGGTGCTGCTCGCCTCCTCAGGGCCCTCAGGGAAGCGGGGCACGTCCAGGAGGCCAGAGCAACGGCACCGCACTGTCAGTGGAGGGCTTGAGTCACTCTCGGTGTGAGACGACTCGGACACTGACAGCCGCTTCCGCAATCTGTGAGAGACAGTGCCTGGGGTGAGATGGCACAGGGCTGTCCCCCTCCCTCCAGGCTGCCTTAGGAGCACACAAAGGCTATGGCCATATTCTCCCCATCACCCGCAGAGGCTGCCCTCAGGAAGCTCCATCACTGCCTTGGGCACTCCTCCCTGGTACTGCGAATGTCTCCTATGAGTGGCAGCACCTGATGTTGCTGTGCTGCGCAGGCTCACTGAGTTCCAAGTACTTACATCTCGGGAGAGCCAATCACCCAGCTCCGGTCTCGGCCTTTCAGTCCCCCCAAGCTGTCTGAGCGGTCCTTCTCTTCACTCAAGCTGCGCTTGGTTGGGGGTGGCGTCCGGTGCTCCTCCAGCAGAGACAGCCTCTCCATGCTGCTGTATACCTGGGAGTAGGGGACACGCTGGGGGTGGGTTCTGAGAGGCCCACCTCCCAGGGGGCCAGTTACCCACTTCCTTCTCACCCAACATGCACTAGCTGGACATCTGTGGAAGCAGATATTCTGCTGGTCTGGCCTCATCTTGGCATCTTTTGTATAAGGGCCTACCATGGTCCTAAACGTACCTGCCACTTACAGTCTCAGCCCCCAGTCCTCTTTTCCTGAGATGGTCTCACCAGCCCCTTCCCAGCCTGGCCCTGGCTCCCACCGCTTCAGCCTTGTGTGCAGAGCCTCGGCCTGCACAGCCACACCTTGCTGAACCTTGGAGAGCAGGACGAGAACTGACGGATCTCCAAGCAGCCATCCTCACTCACATCCTCCTCATCCTCTGAATCGATGTGGTGGTAACGTTCTGAGCGGGCTGGGCCAGACACACAAAACAGTCCCCTTCAGAGGTCTGGCGGGTGGGTTAGCTTCCTTGTGTCCCGATTCTCAGGTCAGGGATGTGTTTCTGGGTTAAGACCTGCCCCCATCCCACCCCACGCCCCTGGAAGCCTTACTATCAAAGTAGCTCGTATCATCCTCTGACTCCAGTTGTGGAATAAATTCAGCTTTTTGGCGAAGAAGTCCTGTCCAATCCAGACCCATGAAGAATGGATGCTGCTTCACCTCATAGGCACTGCCTGTGGACAGGGCAGGCATGGGTGGGGTGGTGTCAGCCATGTGGAATCCAGGTACACAAGTGAGAACTCAGACTTTGGTATTTTCTGTTTTATTATTATTATTATACTAGTTTATTTACAAAATTTGAATACATTGTTTTCCAGAACAGATTCCTTTGAAAGGCTGACTGGCATGCTCAGCTCAAGTACCATTCTCTCTGCCTACAGGGAATAGGGCAGAGTTTCAAGACCTAAAAGAATGGCCCGCCACTAAAAGGTCACCCCTCGGTTGCACAAGCTGAGCTCCCTTCCCCCGTCTACAGTGGGGAAAAGGTCGGGGGCCTGTCCTACCTGTGCCCAGCCTCTCCAGAGGGTTCTGGTGAAGCAGTTTGGAGGTGAGGTCTTGTGCATCCAGGGGCAGGGCATCATCACCCTCAGGCCACACAATCTCATCTGCAGAGTCATCAGGAGTGAGAGAAAATTTGAAGGAGTAGGTTAGAAAAAAAGAAATTATGGGTACAGAAGGGAGATGCAGAAAAGGGTCCTAGGATTATACACATAGAGAACACATGCGCACGCATGCCTATGTGAGGGATACATGAACAGAAACATTGGACAAGCCTCAGAAGACACAATGGAATGGGCATTATAAACCCCTAAGATGAAAGAGTAGCAACACACATACAAATGAGGTAACAAGGTCTCCTGAGTTTTACACACACATGCACAAATCACGTTTATGAGGTCCAGACTCTGCCTCCCCGGTGGGACAAGGTAATGGTACCTACCACTGATCACTTGCCCAAAGAGCTCCTCTGGAGTGTCTCCAAAGAAAGGAACGCAACCCACTAGGAATTCATACAGAATTATGCCCATGGCCCACCAATCCACTGGCTTCCCGTAGCCCTGGCGCAGGATCACTTCGGGTGCAATATATTCCGGGGTCCCGCATACCTGGACACAGAAATGTCAGAGTGGCTCAGCCTCATGAGACAGTGCACTGGCATGATGGCTGGAGGGGGGATGTGCCCACATAGGAGCAGAGAAATCCCTGAATGAAGACGTAGCTCATCTTACTTAATAAACAAGCTTGACAGAAGCCTCCAGGGGAACTTCTGGCAGGATGGAACTACTGGCAGGATGAGCATTATTTCCTTATTTAACCATAGCATCTAATTCTTAGCAGGAACCAATACTCTCTGAGCCCTCAACACCTTCTCCTTGCCTGGTCCCCAGGACCAGCTTCCGGTTTCCCAGAAGAGACTCTACCAGTCAAAGCACTCCGAGGGAGAACAGTGACAACCAAAAATGTTCCATCAGAGGACATGCAGGGGCAATTTCAGGAAGGCAGGCCACAGCACGGTGGCAAACAGGAAAGGCCTGCTCTTAACTCTGGCAGGAAGAATCAGGAGGTTCTGGGCTTGTCCCATCACATGCTTTACCGCCTATCTTCTCCAACTCTTACGGAGAAAGATGGCTTTGGATTCTCCCAATGTGTAGAATAAAAGTGTGGCAGAGATAGAAGCTCCTAGTCTTTCAGCATCAGTACAGGGTGAGCACACGGCTCCAATTCTTATTGTGAGGTCCTGATTCCCACTACCAAGATCCTTCCTCACCTGCTTGTCCAGGAACTCCCGGGCATCCTTTTCAATGTGGCCTTCATATAAATTTGTTGTCAGACTCATAAGCCCAATTTTAGAGAGTCCAAAGTCAGTGAGCTTGATGTGCCCCATGGATGTAATGAGAAGACTAGAAGAGCAAAGAAACAAAATTAAAGAATAAAACCATTTCCTGGTCTTCCCAGAGCGCTGATTTAGGTAAACTTGCTCCAGCTTTGTGATTACAGAATTCTGGACAAGGACCTGACCTGCTTTCACCCATTTTTCCCAGCTCAATATCTCTCCACTGTTCTCAACTGTACTTGAAACTGAGGAATGGGATATTCTTACACTGGGTGATCAGTTTCATTTCTCAGTTTGTTTCATCATCTCACTTTGTTGCTCTCACCACACCTAGTCCCTTCTCTACAAATGGCTCAAAACCCTCCTTTCCAAGGAGCAAGAAAAAGGACACATAATCTTACTCCATGTCCATGTCTTAAGAGAACAAAGAGAAATATAAGGGCCCAGAGAGAATTCTCTCTTCTCCCTTTACATACAGTGCCTGAGCAATTTCATTATGGCTCTCACACACAGAACAGTCAGAAGTGATATTCTGGACCTGGATAGATTTTACAAAAACACTAACACAACCATTCAGGAAAGGTTAACAAGAGTTAGCAAGGAGAGAAGTGGCCATTTGAACCAGATCTTCAGTCAAAACCACTTTCCATTTTAGGGGCTGATGAGTACAGCACCAGTTCCAGGTTGGAAATCTGGAAGAGATCCCAGACTTCTGCTCTCGTTTTCTTTTCTATCCCCCAACCCAATCTCATCTGTTCTTTACTCCTTCCCAACACCATCCCTTTTTTCTCTAACCAAGGTCTCTTAGTTCTACATGGGCTTTATTGATTCTGGCTTACTGTAAAGGTCTCACAGTTGCTTTCCTTTGACACAATGATCTTCTCAAAGAGATGCTGCCCTGGATGTGCACACCAATTTGTGTTAAGAAGTCCGGAGTACCTGGCCAACTGACTGGAAGAGATCTGTATTTGTTCCCATTCCAAAGAAAGGTGACTCAACAGAGTGCAGAAATTATCAAACAATATCATTAATGTCAAACGCAAGCAAGATTCTGCTGAAGACTATCCAAAAACGACTGGAACAGCACATCAACAGCGAACTGCCAGAAGTGCAGGCTGGTTTAGAAGAGGCCGTGGTACTAGAGATATTACAGCTAATGTTAAATGGATCTTGGTTGAAAGCAGGGAGTACCAGAGGAATGTCTATCTGCATTTCATTGACAATGCAAAGGCATTTGAATGTGTGGATCACAACAAACTGTGGCTACCTCTAAGAAAAATGGGAATCCCAGAACACTTGATCGTGCTTATGCACAACCTACACTTGGACCAGGCGGCAGCTGTCAGAAAAGAGCAAGGAAATACTGCATGGTTCAAAATTGGGAAGGGTGTATGCCAGAGGTGTGTCCTATCTCCATTCCTTTTCAATCTATAGGCAGAAAAGATTACCTGGGTGGCTGGGCTCTATGAGGAGAAGTGTGGCAGTAGGATTGAAGGAAGACTCAACAATCTGTCTTATGCAGATGACATAACCCTGCCTGCCAAAACTGAGGAGGACCTGAAGCTCTTGCTGTTCCAGCCTTGCTGACTGCAGCTTTTAATATGGATTGAAGCTAAACATAAAAAAAAACAAAGATTCTCTCCACTGGGACATTTGGCAGCACCAAGATAGATGGTGAAGAGACTGAGATTATTAACAGCTTTAGTTTGTTTGGTTTCACAATCAGCACTCTTGGTACTAGCCACCAGGAAATGAAAAGATGGACTGCACTGGGAAAGTCTGCCATCAGAGATCGCTCCAAAGTACTGAAGAGCAACGATGCCATTCTGGAGACTCAGGTGCACCTGATTCAGGCCACAGTCTTTGTAATTACTTGTTATGCACCAGAAAGCAGGACTAGGGATGATAAGAGGAGAATTGATGCCTTTGAGTTGAGGTGCTGGAGAAGAGTACTGAATATACTATGAACTTTTAGGAGAATAAACAGATCTGTCCTAGAGAGAGACCAGGCTGCTCCTTTCAGGAAAGGTTTCTGAAGCTTCATCTGACCTACTTTGGACATGTTGCAAGGGGGGACCACTCCTCGGAAAGGGATGTTATACTTGGGAGGGTGGAGGGACTGTACAAGAGAGGAAGACCCTCGATGAGATGGACTGATTCAGTGACTGGGGTAATGGGGGTAGGTGGGCCAGAGAGAGTAAGAAAGGCACAGGATAGAGCACCATTTAGTACCACTGTAGGGTCGCTATGTGTTGTAGGTGACTTGACGGCACCTAACAACAACAACCACAAAATGTGAGCATGGCAATTTATAATACAGTTGGTTACTAGACCCTTCAAACCTACTCTCAAAAAAAACTAGCCACTGTTGAGTCTGAACTGAATCATAGCTGATCCTCCAATGGGTTTCTGAGGCTGTAAATTACACAGGAGTTGACTGCCCATCTTTCTCCTGATTTGCAAAGATACTCTGCTATTGTTATATGCTGAATGTGACTTGTAGCAAATCTGTGTACAGCAGTTCTGAACCCTGCTCTATCCTGAGCCAATCTTATCGTCTCTGACATACCAACCCCCATTGAAATAAAACCCAAACTTTTAACAAAATGCTCCCTGATGACTTGCGGTCCTTACCCACCTCTCTTTTGTTGCTCTCACTGCCTAAGCTACAGGCACTGTTCTACTGGCTCAAGTTCCTTAAAGCATCATCTTCTCTCACATCTATTTGCAGTTTTTCCTCCCTAGATTTGGAAAGCTCCTCCCACCTTTTTTGTTCTGATTTGTGTCCTTTGAACAGCAGCACAAATATTGACTAGATTTACAACTATGTATTCCCAGCTCACAGCTCAGTGCTTGGCACAGAGCAGGTGCCAGGAAACGCTGGGGTACTTGTGCTATCTCCAGGATGTTCCTGATTTGTTTCCTGAATAGGGTTCTTCGATGACTATTCCATGTCACTGAAGCCTTCTGCTGTCCCTGCTGGACCTTGCGAGCAATGACCTTTGGGTCTGAGATTAGAATAGTATGCCCAGGTAGAACACACACCAAGTGTTCTTAGCAGCTTCTCTGGAACATATTCAAACATGCTGTGCTGCCTCTATCTACAGATTGAAGAGGGAGACCCTGGACAAGGCACTCAAAAAGTGGGCATACTTGTCAGGCTTGAGGTCACGATGCACAATGCCATAGTTATGCAAGTACTCCAGGGCCAGCACTGTTTCTGCAAAGTACAGGCGCGCCATGTCCACAGGCAGGGCCCCGATGTTCTTCAGCAGAGTAGCACAGTCCCCACCTGCAAGAAATCCAAGCCAGCATCAGGCAAGAATTCTTCACCCTGCTATAAACGAGCTCAGGCTTTCAAGCTCTGAGCTCCAAAGGAGACACTCTCATGAAACATCCTGCTACCATAGGCTGTTATTCTAGACATTTAGTTTCTGAGGAAAGTAACCATGGAAAAACTCCCAGCATGTACCTGGTGAATTATAAGGGGAGTTTTGCTCAACCATAACCTTAAAACTCAGGTAAAATATCTCTGAAAACTATATACAACAGTAGACCATGAAAAGATGGGCCACTGTAGAGATTCTGCCTCTCTAGAGCAGGGTCTAGATGGATGAACCCTCACGTACTGTCCTTCTACTCTATATAGAGCACTTTACATGGTTCCAACAGACCTCCCCTTCACACAAATGCCTTCCTTTCTTCTGAAGTCCCAGTGTAATCCTCCTAGCACCCAATTCTGGTTCCTGTAGCTCTGCTACCTCCTGTGTTTTTAGTCAACCTCAGGAGACTCTAGGCTGAAGGTTTCTATAGTTGCTGAGTTGCGACAACCTATCCAGGGAGCCTTCCCTGGTGTCTGACTTGGGTAGCCGTTGTGGTTAGTTATTGCTCCAGAAGCCTAACGTTGTGAGAGGAAGGAAACCCTGTGACACCAGACCCAAGTAGTCTCTGCAATTCTGAGGCAGAAACTAATGGTGATGAGGGCTTGGAATGCTATGCCCAGAAAAGTCATCCCTGAACTGAAATGCTGATCCCAGCTTAGGGTTAAGTCTCACATTGTGTCTTGGCTCCACACCAGGCCACTTTCCCCTGGTACCTTCGACATACTCCATCACCATGCACAGGTGGCGCTTGGTTTCAAAGGAGCAGAACATGCTGACCACAAAGGGGTTTTCGGCAAAAGTCAGTATGTCACGTTCCACAAAGGCCTGCTGGATCTGGTTCCGTAGGATCAGGTTCTGCTTGTTGATCTTCTTCATGGCAAAACGCTGCCGGGTAGACTTGTGCCGAACCAGGAACACAGCTCTGGGAAACACAGCCCACTCAGCCTCGCCCCATGCACTCAGCACCTGACCTTGCCCTCCAAAGACCAATGTGGGGTGGTCAATTGGTTTTCTCTCCCACCTTCCGGGTACACAGAGCTTATTATATGTGGGACCATCTGGGCCCATAAAGCTCTCAAATCTTCTGACAAATAAGAGATCTGAGCCATCAAGTCCTAAGGGCACAGCTTACCTCTTTCTCAGAGCACACAGAAGTGCTATGATGAAGGGTGGGAGCCTTGTCTGGGAAAGTGTCTGAGGGAACTAAGCTCAGGGAGAGAGGGACCATCTGCTGCCCAGAAGTCGGAGTGCCGTCTACTTCCAGAAGAAATCAGCCCTAGTCCCAGCTACACCCCATCCGCACTGCCTTTACCCGTAAGCGCCATTGCTGATGAGCTTAATGGTTTCAAAGTCCTCTTCTGAAGGTGCCTTTTTAGATGGTACAGATGCCCCACGGCCCTGTAAGAAAAGGGAAAAGACTTGGGGAAGCTTTGGCCGCACCACCAGCTCTGGTCTTAGCCCCACTACAGCCCTGTCTAATCCTGCTCGGTTGGTGAGAGAGTTCTCAGCCTGCATCTGCAACCATGTGCTCTCCATTGTGCTTCTGATGCTCTGGGATGAGCAGAATCGCAATCTCAGGAATGATGTAGCAGACGCTCTGTTGCTTCATTGGGCCCAGGCTTCAAGATTATGGCAGGAGCTCAAGATCTTTACCTCAATGGAATCGTCTGTCTCTGGAGTGTCAGGACTGTCATAGCTGCTCAATTGGACCATTTCTAGAGACAAAGGACATGAGGAAAGTATGGGTAGTGGCAGGTATGTCAGCAGTCCCCTTGCACCATATGGCAAAGCACGCAGGGCAGGCATTGGCAATTCCTGTGTCAGCCGTGGATGGAAATCCAGCCATGTGACTCTATCCGCAATATAATCATAGCTTTGGGATGAGCAAACATGTCAAATATAGTCCACCTTTAATTTTAGAAATCTAGTGCCACAAAAAAAAGAAAAAAAGAAATCTAGTGCCACACAAACAGGGCTTGGCAAATTGCACAAGGATTCTCTTGGACTTTGTCACAGAAAAGCAAGGCCCAAAGCTGAGCCATAGGTTCTCATCCTAAGACTCTACTCTGAAGCAGAGAAGGTCAAGGAGGACAACTACATACCAAGAAACTAGTGTGAAACTGAAGAAAGGAGATATCCTCTGATACCCTTTGTAGTCCCAACTACTCCAAAGACAAGACAAGGACTCAAAGGTGTATTGTGGTCCTTCGATGATGTTTATTTCTTTTGCCCTTGGGCCTCAACTGCAACTCATCTGGATTCAAGGTAGTTCAGGACAGAGTGTATCAGGCAGAAGTAAATGCAATTCTAAAGGAAAGGCTATTTAACGGCAGAGAGCATAGGGTGTCTCCCATGTCCATGTCCAAGCCAAACCTCTTCTACTACAAGTTGCCCATTTTCTGTTCAAGCCTGTGGGCTGTGGGACCAGCCACCAGGCAGCATGCTCACCCTCTAGGGGATCCCGTGTGAGGCCCAGCTGGCTAACGATGTAGCGGGGAATGTCACATTTAATCCCTTGTCCCTCTTTGGCGTGGCCCTCAGCTGCTTCTAACAGATGGTAGAACTCTTCAGGGTCAAACTCCTGTATCAGGGGAGAAAGGTAGGTAGTCAGGCTGAGCTACAAGTGAAGGTTCCTGTTCTCTTTGGTTTTATGGCTTATACTCAAAGTGGAATAAACAAGAATTTCTCTTCATGATGGAGCACCTTTACCTTTGAATACTTAGAGACATGATCATCAAAATGGGATAAAGCTGTCTTGGAGGTCAACTCAAGAATGGATTTCTAAGTATTGCTACACAAAAGATCAGAGCTTTTGGGTTCAAGACTGCTTCATTTATTCACGCATTCCTAAGCCTTTTCTCAGCCAGATGGCGATGTCAGGCATGCAGTCTTTGCACAAATTCAGTTATGGGTGACAAGAGCTTTGGTAGACATCACTGAGCTGTGCATGTGTGCATGCTCTCAAATAGTTTCTGTGTGATTCCTCTGTGCTAGGGATGGAGACTCAATGTGTAACACAGCACTCTCCTTATCTGCACAGAGTACCTGATAATGAGGATCCCAGTTAACAAATGCTGATTACATGACAGACTCTACGTTAAACTCTAAATTCCAACTCTGTAGAGGAAATCAAGGTTCACAGAGGTGCACTAACTTTCCTTGGTTACCAAAGTAGAAACAGAGAGCTGGCTTTCAAACCTAGCCCTGTTCCTGCTGTATACTGTCAAGTCAGACTCATAGTTGACAGAGGAGGCAGTAAAGCACAGAGAAGTGTATTGCTCATTTTTTACCCATGGAGCGGCTGGTGGATTCGAACTATGTACCTGTGCACTGGAAGCACAATTCCTTACCATTAGGCCACTAAAGCTGCCTAAATTAGGCTTAAGTGTAATCAGATTCTGGAGCACCTCCGCTTTGACCTTGGTTTTCTTCCTCTAGTCTCAACATTTTTTGTGAGCTATACTATT